GTTTGGAAAGGCTTTGTGGCCCTGAAGAGAGTACAGTGCTGTCTTTTCAGTTGCTAGTAGTGTTCTGCTCCCATGACTTAAAGACGAGGAGGTCTCATTCCATTTATGGGTTTTGCCCAGAGTCCAGAGCAAGTGTCTGCTGCACTTGTGGGCCCCCGCACTAGACCCTGACACCCTCAGGAGAGGGCTTCAGGGGCACCACAGGCCACCCTCACCTGCAGCCAGGGACCAAGTTGCTGCAGTGAGATGACCAGGCTGTGAGGCGGTGATCTCTAGAACCCAAGTGTCCCTGGGTCTTTCTTACCTGCAGGAAGAGCTGCCTCTCTGGCTCTCGGCAGAGCGCTCTTCCAGCTCAGGCCCTCATCAGGCTGCTGCCACCCCAGGGCACCCTGCAGGGCCACCCAATTCAGTCTGCAGGCTCCTGGGAACACTGTTCCTGCTCCCACAGCCTCTGAGCATGCCTGTGATCTTGACCTGCCCCAAATGAGTTCCATGCCACTAAGGTGCCTGTGAACCTCCAGGGCCACCGCTCATCTCTGTGCTGTAGATGCACCTGCCACAGCCAGTGCATGACACCTTTGAAGCCTCAGGGCAACAGCACGGTGCAGGTGTCCCAGAAGGACAGGGCAGGCCCCGTGAGTGTGCAGGTTTATAAGAAAGCGGTCCCCTTCAAAAGAAAGGTGGTGGGGGGTTTACTTTTTTTTGGTAGAGATAGGGTCTCATTATATTGCCCAGTCTGATCTTGCACTTCTGGCCTTAAGTGATCCCCCCTCCTTGGTCTCCCAAAGTGCTGAGATTCCAGACACACCCAGCCTGGAATTTAGTATTACAGAGATTAACTCCATGCACTGTTTCATACAACTGAGATCGTTCTCTTCCTTGCCTGAATTTTTAAGTAAGATATTAGCTCAGAAGATGCACGCCTCTCAGACAGTGTCGCATGTTCCATGTGCTGTCTAAGACCAAAAGAGGAATAAAATACAGAGCAAATAAAGATCTAACATAAAATACAAACTCCAAAAATCTTAGAAGAAAAAATATGTTTCGAATATTGAAGAGGACCTTCTCAATCAAACAGGAAGTTTAGAGGCCATAAAGGAAAAAGAGAGTATTTGATGGCATAAAAATGCATAGCGTCTATAGAGAAACCCGCGGCAAAGTTTGAAGAAATGACTGGCTAGGGGAAATAGTTGCAACACGTAACAGACAAGGATGTGTAACTGTAATATGAAAGCTTTCATATAAATACATAGGAAATAAATGAGAAAACTACAGACACACTAATATGATCATGTAAAAGAGAAATACAAATTACCATAACCATTGGGAAAGATCTGAAATGACCAGAAATTGGAGAAATATGAATTAAAATGAGACACATATTTTTGTCCATCCAATTGGCATCAGTTAAAAGGGCAAGTCTCCGCTGTGAATGAGGGCATGGGGAACGTGCCTTCTGGGATAGCCTAAACTAGTGCAGCATTTACAAAAGGCAGGTTCTCAGTAGCCATGAGGATTAAGAGTGATTATGCCCTGGGCCCAGAGATGTCACTTTTAGGAGTCTTTCCTACAAGTATACTGACAAATGTGTGCCATCCATACACTTGCACATATACACGTGCAATCTTATGGTCATAAGAGAATAAAGAAGCAAGCTGCCTGAACAGCCACCAGCCGGAGAAGGCAAATTCCAGTATGTGTGCCCTCTGTAACAGACAGCCGCCAGACAGACCAAGGCCAGTGCATATGTGTTCTTGTTTAAAGAAGTCTGTGATGTATTAAGTGAAAAGACACAAACAAGATATTTGCACATCGAGTCCAATAACTGAAAAGAGGAAAGCCTTTTTTTCATAGCAAACACAGACACATACAACGGGGGCCTGGGCTTTCCCGTGGGATGGAGTGGAGCTTGGTGGAGTCAGGGCACCATGGGTTGGGAAGGGAGACTTTACACTGCACTGTTTCCTTCTATATGATTTAAATTTTCAAGAAGTTTTCATTACTTTTGTAATTAAAGCTCTTTTCAAATGAAACACAAATATGTAAAAAATGCCCAGAGACTTAGGAAAACATAATTTGATTTGCTTTGCTGCAAATGCTCATCTGCACAGCTTTCCATATTCAAGAACAGATGACCTAGAAAGGCGTCGTCCAAGGGAAGAGTTGATTCACGGCAGGACTTTGTGCACCTCCCCTGTCACCATGATTTTCCTGTTTCCATGCCCATAAAGCAATGAAGTTCTCTTGAAAAGAAAACATTTGGAAATCCCAGGGTATGCTTTAACTTGAAAGGTAATTTGCGAATACTCTGCTATTTAACCACAAAATAAAAATACGGATTGGTAAACAAGGCATTATTTGGGGTTCAGTCCTCACACTGTGTTCACTGCCTTTGTCCTGAGCAGAATCTCTCTGCTTCCTTTCATGATTGTCCCTGGGTGATCTCCTCGGGCTGGTGGCCAACCCCCTGCACAGACCCTCAGGGCTCCTGGAGGAGCAGTCAGGCACTCTGCAACCAGTGCAGGCCTTGTCCTGTTGGTGGTGGCTGCCCTCACAGAGAGCGCACCCATGCAGCTGGACAGAGCCCACCGGGGCCACGCATCCCACCCCTTTCTCTCAGCCTGGGGGTGCTGAGTCTCTCATCAATCCACCTTGTACCAATGAAGCCACTTAGCTGCCTCCCATGTCAGGAGGGACAAAGTAGGGGCTCCAGACTCAGCCTGGGAGATGTCACATGGTGCGTGGGGGTAGGGTCCTGAGAAACACAGGGTGTCCCAGATACAGGAAGGTTACACACAGGGGCAGAGTCAAAGACTGTGTTCCTAGGTAAAGAAGTGTGTCATACTTCCTATGGCCTGTGAGCAGAAATTCGGTCACATTTCTATTGGAACCCAATTGTAAAGGGCCCAAGCCCCTGCTTGAAGCAATTTCAGTTTTTCCAGGAAGCCCCCAGCATGAAAATTGTTGATAAGCCCTGGGGAGCTCTTGGGTCGGGGCGGGGAGGGGGTCATATAAGTGTGGCAGCTCTGCTGGACATTTCCTCCCCATAGGAAGTAGACACTCAAGCCCCGAGGCTGGGCCGGGCACCAGGTTCCTAGAGTGCCCACCACTCAGCTGACAGGTCACTGGGGACCCCAGGGCAATAGCAGCCCCTTGGCTGGGGCAGGGTCAACAGGCCTCACTGACTGCCAGCCTCGGGGAGCTGCTCAGGGCATGGCCTCTATGCCTCTGAGCATGGTTTTGTCCGTGTCCACAGAGAAGGTGATGTTCCCACTGATCTGGCCTCTCCCTACCTGCAGGGGCAGGGGGCACTTGACAGGTCCACTTCCTCGCTGTGCACAGCTCAGCCATCAGCCTCCCACACACTCTGCTTTCTATTCTTAAGGCACCAGCCCCTCTCCTATAGGCCCCAGGGCCCCGCTGCCCTCCACTCCCACCCTCAGTCCCTAAGATATTGCGATCTGAGTGTGGAAGTGGAGGGCGGTCCCAAAGGGTAGGACATGGAGGAATCCAGAGAGCCCCCCTCGTCCACCCTCACCCTCAGTTCCCAGGGTGTGGACAGCAGACGCACACAGCCATAACTGCTGGGGAAGCAGCTGGTCTCTACCTGCATATGTGAGCAGATGCACTGACAGATATACCTCCCCACTGACCAGGGCCTGAGTCCTGCCGCAGCACAAGTGTGCACATATGTGTGTGATGCGCATGTGTGTCTGTGCGTGCTGTGAGCCCAGGGCAGTGCAGTTGATGGTGTTCTCTCCTCTTCCTCCTGCCTTGTGTGATGTCCCACATGATGCCACCCCCAGATTCCTGCACTGTTTTCCTCACAGCATCCCCAAGCCCCTTGCTCTGGATTTATATCACTGCATGGACAGTCATTTCCTTCCAGCGTGGGGGACTAGGAATGAAGCAGGCAGCAGGGCCATGGGCTAGGAGAGGGGGGCAGAAACTGGGTCCAGATTGCCCTTGAGCCCTTGACCTACTTCCTCTTCCAAAACAGGGGTCTGACTCACCTGCTTCCAGCTGCTGGCCCAACGTGCTGTGACTGGAAGTCACTCTGTGCTTCTGGACTCATGTGTGAAGTGTGTGTCAGGGCATTTGGGGAATCTTTGGAGTGGTGGTGTCAGAAGCCCAGGGGAGACCTGATCACTCCTGAAGTGCTATGCCCACAGGCCTGGAAACAATGCAGATCTGTCTCCTAACTCACCTGCAGAGCCATAGCCTTGGAGGGAAGGGGCCGATGTTGAGTTTTCCTTTTGAGTATGGGTCTCTTGGGGGATTGCTTTGAGAAACTCCACTCAACCATAAAGATGGGTTTAACTTTTCTAGAGCAGTGACATTGGAGAAATAGCTTCAGTTTGGGGAGACTTTCTCAGCTCCCTGTGGTGGGGGATGGAGGGCGTCCTCTGGCAGGAAGAGGGTCTAGGTGATGGGAGCCCCGGGCTTTTCATGTCCTAGGAGAAGGTGGCACCCAGGTGCCTGCCCACAGACCTGACTGGGGTCAGCACTCTGGCCTGGACTTACATCCCCATGTGGGAAGCAGGGATCATTACAGCCAGCCCTTCCAGAGGTCTGTGGGCAAATAGACATACCTTCTTAAGGACCTCTCATTCTAGCATTGCAGAGACAAGGTTTATGGGACGAAGACGCTGGGGAGCAGAGGTCTGCGGGGAAGAGTCCCTCTTAGACCAACCTTTCTGGGAGATGTTCTGAGGACACCCTAGTCCTCCCGTGGTCCAGGCAGCGGGCTGGATCCAGTGGCAGATGTGGCCAGAAGCACAGGCTTCCGGCTCCCTGGCTGCAGGTTTGCTCAGCCTCCCAATTGTACCTTCATGTCTCTTTCCCTAAAGTGGGACAGTTGTTCTGTCATCTGTGGCCTCTGAGGACCAGATGTGTGCGAGAGGCCTTCAGGGCCTGCTGGCTGGCCCAGTGGCAGTAGCTGGAGAATAGGGTGGGGCCATAGGGGCCAGGTGGCTAACCATTCTTCTCTTTCACCGCAGCGGAGCTGGAGTTCGCCCAGATCATCATCATTGTCGTTGTGGTCACGGTGATGGTGGTGGTCATCGTCTGCCTGCTGAACCACTACAAAGTCTCCACGCGGTCCTTCATCAACCGCCCGAGCCAGAGCCGGAGACAGGAGGACGGGCTGCCACAGGTGAGTATCCTGGTCACCCTGGCTCCAGAGTCAGGCAGCGGCAAGAGACTCAGGAGCCCATCAAAGTTCAGAGGCTGGAAGCGCTTTCAGTTGACATTTAAAAAACAGGGTGAAGCATACCTTGTAAGTGTTCCACTTAGTGAGTCCCCACAAACTGAACACATCGGTGACCAGCACCCGTCAAGAAACAGACATGGCAGTCCTCCCAGAAGCCCGCCTGGCCCCTGCCAGGCCTCCTCTGCCCAGTGTGTGGATTTGCCAGTTTCTGAGCTGTACACTGATGGGGCCGGCCATGGTGCTCCTTCGTGCCTGGCTCCTCTGGCTTGGCAGTGCACTTGTGAGATACATTGTGTTGTAAAGTCCTGTCCTGAGCTGGGTCCTGAGGGTGCTTCAGGGACAAATCACACACTCATTGTCACTAAACATGCCAGCAGTGCCTGGGTGCCATGAGCTGGAGGACACCCAGAGCTTGAGGCCCTGGGAGCCCCCTAGGGGATCAGCGGTGGGGTTGTAGAGGGGTACACACTCAGCTTGGGTTAATTTTAGGTTTCCAGTTATTTCTTGCCCCAAACCAGCTTCCTCCTCTGGAAAGTAAAACACAGATATTCAGCCAAACTGCTCTATGATCAAACTTGGGAGACCAGGGGCTGCTAGAGCATCCTGTCCCAAGACTGTTTTGCAGGCTGTGATTCTGATGGCTTCGTTTCCAGCCAGAGGGTTAGGAGTGGTGAATTCAGCAAGCTTATAGATCCTTGGCTTCAGTGGTGGGCAGTGGGGCTGAGTCGTGCAGTTTGCTGAGCACAGGAGAGGTATCCCTTTTCAGGACCAGGGCTGTGCTGTTCCTGCTCCTGCTCTGACTTAGGGAGGCTGTCCAGGGTACAGGGTATAGCCATTCAGGTGGGTTTCCTAGAGTGGTTTCCCTCGAACCGCTGAGACCCCTCTCAGGAGGGCAGGTTCACCCTTCACTGGGCCCACTGGTACAGCCATCTATATGCTCAGAGCTGAGGTGTGCTGTCTGCTTTGCAGCTCCTGCAGGTAGAGGGGAGAGGGAAGGGGTGGGTGCCACCAGGTGCTACCTTCAGACTGTGGCGAGGGCTGGACAGGGCAGCCTCAGGGAGGAGATGGGATGCCAGAGAAGGTGTGCACCCTGACAGCCCTTTCCTCCACTTGCCCCTACATCCTCTCTTGCCCCTTCTGTTCTCTCTTCGGGTGCTCAGGCTAGTCTACAAGCCACTCTGGCCCTGCTGTTTACCTTCCTCAAGCCTCAGCAGCATCCTGGGGCCCTTTGTCTGGTGTCCACAGAGCTGCACCATCGAGATGCACTGAACACTTTGGTGTCCTGCTGCCTGTAGATTGTTGGACAGAGCGAGGACTAATTCTTCTGAATCGCATACACACAGTGTATGCGATTCCTCTGTTTCAAGAGAGGACAGGGAGAAAATCTCATCACAACAGCAGTTTCAGAACCACAGAAGGCTAAGACATGGCTGCTTTGTCTTAATGTATTACAGGTGGTGAACGCCACCCCTGGCCTTGATGGAAACAGGCACAGCCTTCCCTGGCCTTCTCTCCAGGAGCTCCGGAATGCTTGGGGTCTCTGTGTGTGGGCACACAGGGAGCTTTTCTGTCCCCTGCCTGGGCCCTCCCCCATCTTCCTCCCAGACTTGCTCTGGTGTTGGCTTCTCTCTCCCTAGCATGAGTCAGTCAGCTCCTTCCTCTGCGCCTGGCACACACTCAGCCTTCCTTGAAGCCCCTGTTCATAGCACCTTGTGTCCTGAACACCTGTACACTGGCCACACCTTTCCTGACCAAGAGGCACAGCAGAAAAGCAAAACGTGTCAAAAAAAGTGTCTTCTCTGTCATGTGGTGGTGGGTTTCTGTGAAGTCCTCTCCCAGGAAGCACCACTGGCCACCAGCAGAGCCTCCCTTCCCTGAAATCAGGAAGGTGATGAAGCAACATTCAGAGGTCCCTTCAGGTCTGCACGCTGTGTGGCAGGTGAAGACATTTGGTAGCCAGTGAATTGTCCACAGAGGTCCACATCTCTGTCTGGGCCTCGTTTTGTTAATATGCATGTACACTCTTGCCCCTGAGAGCTCTGCTCTGGAACTGCGCTGGCACTTGCAGAGAAGCCGGCTGCACACAGCATGGTTTGAGGTCCTGAGCTGCTACGCTATTTCTGCTTTTTTTTCTGAGTAACCTGGAATTCAAACCTGTCCCTCCTTGAGATGTGGCTATTCCTCCTGTGGCTTCTGCACAGCTTAGCAAAGGGCTCTGTGTGATGCTTCATAAAATGCAAGATGCATTCCAGCACGATGACCAGAGGCAGCTCAACCCAGGCCCTTGCTCCACTTCCCGAACTGGTCTCTTAGCCTAGTTCATGGTTCCCCACAAGGGAAAAGAGTGGCAGCTGATGAGGTTCTCCCTTCTTTCCTGGACACAGACGCAGGCCTTGCTAACACTGTAGGTGTGGCCATGCTCTCCATTTCCCCCTTTCTGCCGTGAGGGTCCCCTCACCCAGGTCCTCTCACCCCAGGAATGCCCCCAAGCAGCCAGGCTTCCTGCCTCCTAGTTCCCTACTTCTCCCTAACTTCTTTTAAGAAATGCCTCTTCCCTGATCGCTCCCCTGTATAATAGTGGGGGGAGCGATCTGATTCATCTACACTCAGGTCAGGAGTCTCAATCAGGGATGATTCTGCCAAATGTCTAGAGGACATTTGCAGTATCTGGCACCATAAGCGGGGGAGGGGGTCCTACAATGTGTCCTACAGTGCACGGGCGGCCCCGAAACAAAGAATCATCTGAGGGATGTGAGCAGCACTGAGGCAGAGGAGCGGGTCCCACCAGGTGCTGAGCACTGCCTGGCACAGGGGTGCTTCACTGACAGAAGAGGCCACCTGTTGCCATGAGGGTGTCTCTCTAGGCCGGCTCTGAGGCATCCACAGCATCTACTTCCCAGCAGTACAAGTTTGGGGTTCAGTCTGGGACTCTGCCTTGGGAACAGTTTCCCCTGATGACTCCTGCCTCCTCTGCTTATGCAGTTCATTCAGTGGTCACCGCCTCAGGAGCTGGACACTGAACAGGAGCAGGAAACAGTGGCCATGCCCCATCCCTGCCACCAGCAGCACCTGCAGTCCCCTGGTGGAGGCCGAGGCCCTGCTGCCATTCTCTCCATCTTCCTGGGGGAGGGTGGGAGCCTGGCTGGCCGATTGTGACTTTGGGATGGAGGAGTGTCAGGCTTGGGAGCTGTGGGAGGTGTTTGGGGCAGGCATGAGGACCTGTGTCTCCTCTGTTTCCATGCCCAGCCTGGCCCAGCCCATGTGCAGTTGGCTAGGGTAGTTCTAAGTTGCCTGCTTCCCCATCCCTAGGTGACTGCCTGTGTCAGGTAGCCCCCTCCCAAGGGGCTTGGAAGGGGCTGGGCAGGCACGGCTGGCCGGTCAGCATGGCAGGGAGGGTCTCTTGCCTGTTGGCAGAGCCTGGTAGTCCTCTGCCTCCGGGATCCCTGTGCTGCTGTGGGGGCCTGTGCTCCAGGGTGAGGCTGCTGGGGAGGAGGTGCGTGTGTGAGCAGGTGCTGCCGTCCTCATGGCTTCGTTCTGTTATCAGAGCCCCTGCATCCCATTATCAGAGCCCCTGCAAGCTGCTAAGCACCCCTTCCTTTCTCAGCACCGATGTCCCAGGCCTTTCTCCCTCAGCACCTGAGGCCCTGGGACCCCAGCACCCTCCAGTCAGCAGCTGAGGGTGGGTGCCCCTCCCATCCCCTCTGTGGATCACAGCCTTATTCAGAGCCTTGCTCGGGCGCCTCCTATGGGGGCCCATTAGTAGAGACCCACCCGAGGGCTGCGTGAGCGAAATGCTGTTCTTTTGAAACCTGATGCCAGAAGGGCTGGGCATCAAATTAACCAACTTTTAGGTGCTTTGCCTTCACACTCTGGTTAAACTAATTGTTACATCTTTCTGCTGGAAGCCTGGAGAGTGGAGGTGGAAGCATAGTTTGAGGCAGTAGGATGGGACTGGGTTTTGGTTTTGAGGAGATGAGCGGGCGGGCAGCCTTACTTGGTTGTGGAAGTTTCCTGCCCTGCTGTGAGCGGCCCTTTGCCTCCTCCACAGGTTTTCCCCTTTGACCACAAGGAAGGGCCAGACCAAGGTTAAGCAGACAGCATCACAGTGGCCCTGGCTTCCCTGCTTCTTGCGGAGAGTACCCTTCTGAGAAGTGGTGACTGCCCCCGCTGCCATCTGTGGCCCCTTTCCTGAGGGAGTGACCAGCTCAGCCAGTTCTGGTCCCAGTCCCATGGGGTGTGCTCCTGTGCTGGTGAGGAGCAGCAGCACTACTCCCCTCGGCCAGCACCCCCTCCCACCTCCAGGGCCCTCCTCCCCTCTGCCAGCATCCTCCTGACACTAGCACCTTCCTCCCTGGTCCCTTGGCCTGGGACAATGCATGCTGCATGAATGTGATGGGCGTCGTGAAGCCAGTCAGCCTTTGTCGCCACACAGTAGACACTGTGTGTCTCAGGGGAGCCCAGGGACATTACTGGGCCTGACTGTGGTGGAAGTAGCCATTTCTGGATGAAAATGAAAACTAGCAACCCAGATGCAAATTACATCACAGGCAAAACAAATGCTTATATCATGGCAGATAGCAGTGGTGGGTTTGAATCTGAATCCTTGTGTGTTTGAATCTGAATCTTTGGAACCTAGTTTGTGTGACTTCTGAGTTTTGAGACTGTCTAGATTTCTTTTCATTTTCTTAGACCACTTAGTTATGGGAAAACAGTAAAGGGGCATGAATATTCCAGACACAGACGGAGACCTGTTTGAACAAGTTGCTGGCACGTTTCTTGCTAGAGCTGAGAGAGCCTACGTGACCTTTTATGACTGCCTGCAGCCTGGCCCGGAGGGTCCAGCCCAGCCTGTGTGGACAGCCCAGGGCAGCAGATGGCATGCAAGCAGAAGGGGTGGCCATCAGTGGATGGAAGGAGAGGCAGGAAAGGGATGGGGACCTTTA